CAATCCTGGTCCCATTCCTTAGCACCGTTTTGCAAGGTTTAGACATGACACGCCGTGCAAGACCTGAAGCTTATGTCAGACCGGAAGCCCTGCGCTCGAAACCGCTACCGCGTGCATGTTCTGGGATTCCGAGCTTTGCCGAGGTTCTCCGGGAGCTGCCGCCTCTGCAAGCGGCCGGGCATCCAGCTTCCGATCGGCTGACGCGCGAGTTTCATTGTGTCCTTACAGCTGTCCTTGAGGTCGATAGATCGTGTTCTCGCTGTGTTTGATTTTGATTTCTAACACGCTAAACTGCTAAACCCTAAAGCTTATAACATCTTATAACTTTATAAATACTTGCGAATGGACCTTTGTAGTATTGCAGCCAGGCCATGGAACTTGGAGACATGGCTTCTTTGGACCTGGAGCTTTCGAAGTGGCGCGGGGAGGCAAGAAACTCGCTTCGGGCTTCTACCTGCACTGGCTGAATTACCAAAAGAAGCTAGGATTCCAGCAGGGTGCAGATGGTGATGTTGTTCGTATGTGGATGAAGGTGGGAATGATCGTGTCATTACTTTCCATCGTTTCGTTCATCTGCATTGTTAAGTCTTCTCAGCAGTGCCCGGCGTCGTTACGGGAGGCAACTGGCAGCAGTTTTGTCGATGCTTGTCGGTGCTTGTCTTCGCTATCTTGACACTTCTCGGTGTCTTTATGTTTCATGGTTTGTTTCGGCTTTTCGGAACTTGCCCTACAGCCTACGACCCGTGGCTATGTATTTCATGGAGTTTCTGCGAAGCGCTCCGCCCGCTGTACCGCACGGGATTTTTGCAGACCGTGACACAGTAGGTTGCACTCTTCAATTCTGCCTTCAATACGAAGACCATGCCTATACCCTGGCAAATGCACGTGTGATCAACAGCCAATACAATTTTCAAACGATGTGCGAGAGTGTGAACTTAACAGTCCGTCTTGATCGCTCGTCTGGGCTGTGTTACTGTTGTCCTTCATCAATCCAGCTGAAACATCTGTCCTGTAGCTGGAATTTTCTCTGCTGGAATGTCTTCGGCATATCTAAACTCAATGCTTGCACCTTCGGCCTTTGTCATATTTTCTGGACTAGGGACTATGGGCAGGTGGGTCGCACCAAGTATTCAAATGCGCTACCCCTTCTCGTCGAAGCCTCGTTAAGCCTGTGAAGTTTCTGAGGCGTCCCATCCTCGCAGTGCACATGCAACCCCCCCCCCCCCCTGCAAAGACTGGAATTAGGCTTGCAGGATCTCGCAGGCACTCACGATCTCAGAAGACAGTCAGATCCATCCTTGCGAAAACACCATCATTGGTCCAAGCACACGAGACCAGGAAAGGCGCCCGCCCTGTGTCGCCAGGTGCTATCCCAGAGGTTTGGGGACTGCCGAGGAGTGGTCGAAGCCGTGGCCCCCTGCTAAGATTCTTGAATGTGAAGAGCTGGGTGCAGGGAGTGAGTCTGACTGCTGTATTCTTCGCGTGCTTACCCACGTAAGTTCATACTTGTCAAGATGATGACTTTAAAGCGCAGGTGGGCACTGGAAGAAGGTTGTAATTATAAACATTTCACAAACTGTGGCTGCATTTTACCAAAGAAATTGGGCTTGATGCTGGACATGCGAGTGGAGGGTGCAGACTTCCCTCCCCACATGGTGCCTGGGGCAAGCTAGACAGCGCCTTTGCCTCTTGCTGGCTGGAACACATGAGCGAGCGACTCTGCAACCCTGGGATTTATTTAAATTTAGCACTGGACTTTAGTGGCGAGGGAGTGCCAAATCCTGCCATTTTTGTTTGGTGTTTCCCATGCATGAGTGATGGAACTGCTCCATTGGCACGCAGACAGCTTGACCGGTCGACGGCTCGTCCCAGACTTGCAAGTGGAGATGTGGTAGCAGGTGGGGATCTTGCTCAGAAAGCTTGGAGACAGGCTGACTTGCTGAGCTTGGGGATCGTGGTGTGAAGTATCAGGCTAATATGCCTGTTTTCGCTTCTTGAAATGAGAGGTTCTTCTCTGGTTGCCCTAAACCTCGCCTGAATTGCTCGAGCGCGAGTGCTAAAAGCCAATCACAGAACCAAGACAACAACCAAATAAAGACGGTGTTCGCCTAGCAGCAACGCAGAAAGCTGACTGGAAGTAAGGGCAAATAACTTAGAAGAACGAATGCATCGGATAACGTCTAGCAGTCAATACAACAGCCGGGCTTGTAAATGACCAAGCAACCTCGACAATTGCATGGTGCACATATGGAATATGAACAGTTGTGGAGGCACGGGTGGTTGGATTTGCTGGACGGCTTGAGTTGGCGGAAGGGACAGGGTGTGGGGGAAGGTTGCTGAAGAGCATTCGACTTTGAGGCTGAGGCCGCGCAGCCTTGGGGGTATCGCTGACAGGAGCCTCTAGACTCTATTGAATCTAGACCTGCGGCAAAGACTATGCAGATGCATATGCACACTCTGGCAAGCACGCGCGCGCACGAATATTGGATGAATATACAGATACAAAAGATGTGTGTATGTGCATATACATGTATGTGTTTTGATATGTGTACGTGTACTTATCATTGCATGTATGAGCTGCGGAGCAGTCACTCATATGTCGTACCCGTGCGATACACCGCAAATGTGCCCATATAACCCGCTGGACTAACAGGGACCAATTCGTTCACAAAGATCCCGATAGCAGCCTGAAGAATGCAATAGCACTGGCTTGAGTTGAGCTGTTTGTCTTTTTGCGCCTGTGCAACCGGTGTGGACTTGTTTTATCATATTCTCTCTGCCCCTGCACTAGAGATGCTGGAAGCTGAGCCAACCCCTCATGGCCTCTTTAAGGCCATAGCCCAACATTGCAATCCGGGGTCGAATTCCGAGCCCCCACGGCGATGAGGTCAATATGGCCAAGGAGAGGCTTCTCACATGGCGCAGCGTGGACCACACTTGGAAGGAGCCGTGGTTCTAGGGCTCCGAGTAGGGTGCACAGTGTTCTTCCAGTTGCAATTTTGGCTTACCGCATCCAGGAATATAGCCAGCACTTGCAAGCTGGGATCGTAATGAAATAGCTTTAACATGAACTTGTGTGATAGGTCCCGCTTAGAACGGACGTCATGTTGCTCTTTGATTCTGGCCACATCCAACACCGGTTGTCTTGCAGAATAGGCGTCGCCCTTTGAATTAGCTGTGGTTGTCATGGTGGTGTCGAGAGGTTTATGCTGGGTGGTGTCTGGACACCCCTGGATGGAAAGTCGGTCTGTTCAGAGTCTGCTCAGGGCGCATGTGTGGTTCTGCGCTGCTCCTGAAAATAGCTCTCACACGGCAAAGCTTTGCATGCCCTTCGCTTCGCAGGAGGTGATCCGGGAAGTGGAGCGCATGCCAAGCAGCCTGTCCTCTTTGACCAATCAGCGCCGCGCACAGATTGTCTATCCTCGCCAATGGGAGAATCAGCTCAGAAACACACACAGCTTAAGACGATTCGATGCATCAGTCCAACCGCACAAGATTTCATCCAGCACCATCCCAGACTCAGCTTAGTCGCCCTGCTTCCTTTGCTACGACAGCAAAGGAACCTACGACTCTCAAGTTCGGTACCGAAGCAGCTTAACATCCCCGGCCTCACGTACGGAAGGAAATCGGCAAGAAACCCTCCGGGAAACCATGTTGCTTCAGTTGTTTACAGACACAGCAAGCAGATGCAGCATCTTCCCAGGTGCCAGCGTCTTTTCCGTGCCATGAAGGAGGCGCAGCTGACAAAGCCCTGGGCCAAGTTCCGCGGGTTCACAGGCTTCAGTATGCAGAGTCATAGAAACTGCATTCTTGGAAGCGCTCTTGGTTTTGTCCACTCCCAAGATTGACCCAAGCACTTCCACCAAAAGTTCCCGAGGTTCTTAGTGGGGTTCTGCACCCATGAAAGGCCTTTGAATGATCGCGCAGAACTATATATAGCATATATATATAACTTTCTGTACACATACAAGTTTGTTACACGTATTTTGGGCCTCCACAGGGATCAGTGCATTCCGAGCCGCTGTCAAGTTCTAAAGAGTTGCATACTATGCGCAAGGTACACTGCAGAAGTCTCTCGACCTGTTGTCAGCACGCTGTAAACAAAGGCTTTTTCTTGCTAGTGTTTGCAATGATTCGCGCACTGTTGTTGTCATTGTGCTGAGACACCTGGCCCTAAACCCAAAACCATGCATGTTCAAAAAACCATGGTTGTCAATTTTCACGTGCTACTGTTGCAACTCTCGTTTTTCAGGTGCTACTGTTGCAACTCTCGTTATTCTCCTCGCTCCTACCCTGCACAAGTGATCGTTGCTGTGATTCATCAGTGCAAATTCACTCCAAGTAGTGCGTTTATTACGATTTCCACAACTTAAGCACATTTGTGTCAGCAACGCCCCGATGTTCTTTGCAGCTGTTCGGCTCTGTTCAGCAGATCCCATTGTAGTCTGCAGAATGTGAGATCCGCGCGCAGGATCAGCTACATGGTTTCAGGGTACGGGGTTCCGTTATGGATCGTTATAGATCGCGTTCGGGCACAAGGAAGTGTTTCGCCCTAGCGATACGAGCACTTGAGTCGCTGTTGTGCGGTGTCTTCCCTTCTAGCTGCTCTATATCTCTCTCTCGTGACGACAGTTCCTGCCTAGATGCTCCGAAAAGGTAGCATCCTTCGGAGGACTGCAGAATTGTCTATGGTCTTCTTCTGGGGTCAGGCCAGCTACTGCGGGTTGGATTTGTGCTTCCTATAATAATAATATAGTAATAATAATAAGAAGAAGAATAGTGCAATTCTGTAAACACTTGGTGCAGCTTGTCATACCAAGTGGCACTGACGAGTCCCAGGCGAGTGCGAATACCGTCCAACCCTTCAGCAGGACGCCCTAAACCCCTGAAAGCCCCAAAGTCCTCGAACTTTAGAGCTCCTACATCCGAAAGCATAAGTACTTTTCAGCCCGGAAGCTTTTCAAGAGCTCGAGGAGTCCTTTCCGAGGAGCTGGGCATTGATGTCTCCTTGGAGGTGCTGCCCCGGTCACTAGAATAGGGTTTCGGGGTATATGACTCTATCGTTATACGAAGGAACTCCCAAAACCCGACAGCTTTAGAGGGCTTGAAGCTTTGGGCATTGAGGTTCCGACATACTGGTTGGGACAGACGTGCAGCTGTCAGTGTGAAAGCTGTAGGATCTAGGTTGCAGGGTATACATGGAAAAGGCATGCGTCCATAGCTCGAAGAAGTGCATGCGTACATTTTAAGTAGCTACGCACAAATGTACACACACACACATATATATATATATATACATACATACAGCCTGCATATCGTGTACTGGTTATATGCTCAGAGCACCGGCATTTGGTTTAGCTCGCCCTAAGCCGCAATGCAATGAGACACGTGGAGCTTCGCTGTTTCAGCTAGAGCTAGAGACTTTCCACCAAACCGGCATTTCCGTTTGTTCAAAACAAACGATGGCTCATCGGAACTCCCAACACATCTGGTTATCTGGTTCACTCATCGCTGTACAGACACCTGGCAAGATGTGAGTGTCGAATACATCCCCAATCGCCTCGAGGAACACAGGTAACAAACCTCACAAACAACTTCAAGTCCCTTACCCAAGCGATTTCTTTCAACGTCATCTGTCATATATTGCCTATTGCATATTATGAACGTACTATTCTGTTTAACTATATAACCTATATCATACATATCGCAAAATCCGACGGCCTCGATTCCGCAGGTCCTTCGCCTTGCGCCTGCTGGGTGGCCTTTGCTCAGCATCTGCTCTGCGGCCCCACAGCCAGAGCGACTTTGAGAGCTCCTCCGCTTCCAGTGATGGTCTTCAGACTGGCCTTCTACTGGTCGTGCAAGTCTTACAAGTAGTCTCAGTTCGAGTCTCTCTTAGTCTTAGTCTCAGTATGAGTATCGCTGCATCTGTTTTGGGCTGGTTGGTCAGGTTGGTCTTGTTATGGCATCGCTGTTTGCTTTGGTCTCGCCACCTCTAGGGCAGAAGCTTCCCTTCAGTCACAGATGAAGCAGGGACAGTATCTTGAAGTTTTGCGGCATGAGTTGCGTTTGCTGGAATATTCGGTTTTACAGCGGTGCTGGCCGGGTAACGATGATGTTTCTTCGACATGGCCTACCCTGCAGCATGTACGAAGTGGTGCTGTGTGCGCCCTGTGTAAACTTTGAGCCTTCTCGGCTGTAGAACTTTGAATGAAGCCAAGGTGGTGATGCAGAAGCCGCCCAGCAGCATGTTGATTGGCACTTGCAGCACGTGTCGTTGTATAACCAGTCTTGGTCGCTGGTTTATTTATCCTTTTGGAATGCTGGCACTACTAAATGCAAAACCACGCGATGATGGGGTAGCCAAGCGTAAAGGCAGAAGGGAAGGCACAAATGAAGTGTTTGTTGCGTTTCGTCCACCGGCCTGGTGTGTACCTGGCGCAGCTACACTTACACTGCACGGAGCCTGGCAGCATTGTAGTGGCAACGAGCGGAAGAGAGAGAACGAGAGAGAGAGAGAGAGAGAGAGACATACATGTGTATATATATATATATATCTATATACACACGCGAAGAAAATGTGCATTGCATGTGTGTGTATATATATATGCATATGTGTTTACATACATACGTAATACTGGTAAATGTATCTGTCTCTGCACATGTACGTGCATGTTTGTGCGCTTGTGCATAATATATATATATATATATATATATATATACACACACACACACACATATACATACATACATACATGAAGCGTCGCGGCTGACAGGTGACTGCTCGAGTCTGTGTGCGAGGGATATACTTGTGCATAAACGAAATACGACTTAAAACCAAAGCTGGAGGGAGACACCCGCTCCAAGGAGCTTCGTTCATCCCTGGTAGCACGTTTCACTGACAGCGCCGAAGCCTTCATCCAGCAGCTCTCGGAGGTGGAGTGGCCCGGCTCTGCAAGAGTTTCGGCCCTAGGAGCCCTCATGGCCCCCTTTCATGCAGAAGCTATTCTGCTTTTAAAGCAAGGGAGGAATTTCATTCCAGCCTTCAAGCTCGAAGTCCCACACCTGCGATATGAGTTTCCCAGCCTCCGAGCAGCCCTGATGCTAATCTCAAAGGCTGCGCCACGCGCGAAGTTTGCCGCATGTGGCGCTCCTGGAGGACCTACATATATTTATGTATGTATCTACTGTATATGTATGTATATATATATATATATATATATATATATATATGCAGACACCGCTTTGCTTTTAAGTTCGAACTTAGTTTGCAGCAATAGCAAACTCACTAGCATGGCCGAACAGGTTGTGCCACCCTGAAAGTGGACAACAACGGGTGGGACGGCTTGAATATGCACTTCTCACACGCTGTCGACGAGCTCTTCAAGCGTCACCGATGTTCAGGGCTTGGGTTTGAACCCGAATAACTTAACTGTGCAAGCTGCTCAGGAGAAGGGGCTACCACTCGCTCAGCAATTTAGATACTTCGCCCTCATGGAGGCAGGGCTCAGTCCGCACGGAGGGACAGGCTCATGGTTCAAAAGTCGCAGCACTGCAGGTTTTGAATGGTTTTGACAGGCTCGGGAGTGTTGCACGTGTATTTGGTTTCGATTGGTCGCACGGCAGATTTTGCGCAGCGTGAGGCCCTATAAGTCGATCTGAACCTCTGCCAGGCGGTCCGGCACAATGCCTTCGACATTCCTTCTTCCATGCTTTCGCTGCTTTCATGACTGGTAAGCGTTCGATATATGTGCTCGATGTGCAAGAAAACCAAAAGCATCACTGGCCGTGGGTTGTCAAGTCCTGGTTCTTTCCAGGTCCAGGGAGGTTGTGAAATTGGGCGAGATTGCCAAGGCATCCGATCTTTCTGAGTAGGCATCGCGCCGCAGTAGCAAGGCTCCACACACCGCCCCAGCCTTAGCCCAGGAATTTGCGGCTAAGCTCCGAGAGGCATGAGGAGGCCGTCACCCGGGTTAGTCTAGCCTGCAAACGTGAAAGCCGGCCTGGTGAGGCAAAGCCTTGCAAGAATTGTAGGATCTTATAGGATTGAAAAGCGCAGCGGAGGCGAATGCCACGTCCGAACCAGACCTAAACATCAGCAAGGCGCGGGAACGCTGTTTCCTTTCTGCTTCGCAGCAACAGAAGCCTGCCTTGGGCTTCTTCAGCTTTCCACTTTGGAGCTTAATCAGGGCCTCGGGCTTTCTAACTGCTTGATGCATTCGACTGTTGCTCGTACGGTAGGATTTTGGGCATTTGGTGCAGCTGAAGAAGTGTCGACTTCCTTTGGTCCAGGCTGAGAGCAAGGAATGCGCTTGCTTCAACTTTGTTGAATGAAGGCTATCACCTGAGAAACCTGCTGCTCTGTACTGTCACCAGCAATCCAGGTTGTTCTTGTATCTGCATGAAGGTGCGCATGTGAATGACGTTGTTTGCTTGGCCCTTTTATACTCCCACCAGGCCTTCGGGAATGAAACGGCGCCAAAGCCCTTCCAGCCGCAGGAACTCGACGCTTGGCTTGCATGCAGCTGTATCGGCTGAAGCCATGAAGCTCATTTGGCTCCTCCATCCCCGAAGCCTACCGCAGCCCTTCACCCTGAGTCTGATGCCAAGTTGTTGAGCTCGAAAAGCTCGCCGATTTTGGCCCACTGGCATTTAATGGACCATGAAAAAGAGAAAGCCCCCTCCCCTCCCGCCCCGCCTTGCACAGCCCGCATTCCTCAGTTCACCCTCACAGCACAATTCCCCGCAATGGTCGGCCCCAAACTCCTTCTGTTAACTGACAGTGTGCGATTTCCTCTGTCACTAGCAGCCTGCAAATCACCCGTCTTCGGACACTGCCATGGGGAGTGCCTGTTCGCTGAATGACGACGAGACAGAGCTGAAAGGCCGGTGTTGAGGGCTGCGATTAAAATACATCGAAAGCTTGATAAAGACGTGGTCGACATCAGCAGCATTGACAGCTCGCCACAGCAGCAACAGCACCAATCACCACTAGCAACCCGAGCAACAGTAGCAGCAACAGCAGCAGCTGCGGCAACAACAACAACAACAATCACAACCGCAAGCACAAACACAGCCGCAACATTGACGACACCCGTGGATGGCAAATGCACGACGTGTGCAACAGATATCAACACAGTCCTGCCACATCGGCACAATGCCTATTTGCACGAAATTCTATCTACCACAACGTAGGAAAACGACATAGATGTGCACCTGCCTTATAAATTTGGCCATCGCTGTGACAAGCAAAGGTCAGTTGTGCGGATTTCGAAATACATTTCGCAACAGTAGTCAGAGAAGCAACAGCAGCTCATCACGTCTGTGCTTGTGTCAACATAGTACAGTGGCTGCCATGAAAACGTCCGCGACGACGATGGAATCAGCCGCTGCTGCTTCTACTGCCAAGTCCTCCTCCTGCTACTACTCGTCCTCGTACTCCTGCTTAAACTCCTACTGCTACTCCTCCTTCTCCCAGTCCTACTCCTCCTCCTCCTCCTCCTCCTCCTCCTGCTCCTCCTCCTGCTCCTGCTCCTGCTCCTGCTCCTACTCCTGCTACTACTACTGCTACTACTACTGCTACTACTGCTACTACTGCTACTACTACTACTACTACTACTACTACTATCGCTGCAACTACTACTTCTCTGCTACTACTCCTGCTGCTGCTGCTACTACTACTACTACTACGACTACGACTACGACTACGACTACTACTACGACGACTACCACTACTACCACTGCTCCTGCTACCAGAGCAAAAGCAACGACCAACACGACGACAACTACTCTACCAGTGCTGCCACAAGAACAACACGAAACAACGGAAGACGGCTATAATCGCTTGCATTCCTCTCATCATGCTTTCGTCGTGGCGATCTTCATGTGCAGCATGAGCCCTCCAGCAGGCGTGGTGAAAAGCCGCGTTCAGCTCCGTCCCGACCACCGGAGGCCGGTAAAGCCTCGGAGCGAGATGGGCCTCCCGGCAGAGCTTAGCACGACTGTTTTTTGTCTGTAGTTCTGACCGGCAGATTCATGTCGGAATAGCCTGTTGAGGCTTATGTCCAGGCCCCTGAAGCCAGGGACTCTGGCCAAGCGTGACGCGTATACCGTATATACCCTTCAAGAGTAAGCCGTTTGTTCCTAGGGTCTGTGGCGCCAGGCCCGCCAGAGCTGCTGGAGGCTTCGCTGTTAGGGGACATGAAGCAAGCCGGCTGGGTACTGGAGCCTCAGAGCAGATTCAGAGCGTCGACAGCTCTTCCGCCGACAGGATTTAGTCTTCGCAAGGCGTCAAGGACTTCCAGAGCAGTTTTGCTGCACGAAATCATTTCCGTAAACCTTTGGAACGCGAAACCCAACTAAACTTTTTGACCCAACCTGAAATCTTACACTAGTCCTAAACCCGATCAGGCTTAAACGATCACTATACAACCAGCTTTCCGTAGTTCGAGGTTCAGGCCTTTCTCCCCACGGTGATGGTTCGTGTTTAGGATTAGAGACCGATGTTTTGTAGACCCATGTGTTGTTCCCTCTCGCATGGCCGGGATCAATGCCCACTCGCGATGTGGAGACCGATGGTTTAGGGTCGGGGCTTTGGGTTTGTCAGGTTTGGTTTACTTAGACACGACTTGCAAGAATTGCAGGACGCCGGAAATCGCGGGGGGCGGGGGGTGTGTTGCAGCTGAGGATCTGATGTCCTACAGTGATTTTGTTCGAGTTCAGGCCCAATCTTGACTAAGGTTCCGTGTGCTTCCGGGCTTAGGGGCCTAAAGCAGGGGTTTCTCTACTGATTTAGTGTTTAAAGTGGATGGAATAAGGTACATGTTCTGCCGAGGTTTGATTCCATCAAAGCGCCAGCAGGGCAGTCGCCATGCAGGGTGCTTCAGCTTAGAACAATCCCCCGCGAAGCAGCGGTGATGCACCAAGGAGACAGACGGCAACGCCCACGGCGTTCCAACCTGCGGCTGGGTTGAAATGGGCCATCGTAGCCGACGTAGCGTAAACTCCGTAGGTTCCAGATCCCGTCCAGATTGGATAAATAGCTAGCTGGCTAGTTCGTTAGTTATCGCTATTTAGGTATACAGTATACATCAATTACTTTTCTTCTATAATCGAGTAAATATACTGTCGCTCTCTTTCTCTCTCTGTCTCTCTTCCCCTGTATGTATGTGTGTGTACATACATGCATACATACACACACATATGTACTGAATGTGTACGGGAGAGAGCACAAGAATGCAGAGAGAGGGAGGGAGGGAGAGAAGAGCGAGAGAGCGAGAGCGAGAGAAAGCCAAAAACCAACTGACATAGCTGAAAGGCCGGCGGCGACTGTGACGGTAGAGCAGACATGACGCAAAACCTGCTCTTGTTACCCCGTGCCTTCAACTTTTTTGGGTGCAGGGAGGCTGAGGCTTTTAAAGATTCGGGCGCAAACCTCGAACACTTCTGTGTCTCAAGTGGGACGACTGGTATGGTGTCCATTGCCAGTCGACGAAGCTATGAGGCTGGCTTTCAGTAATCCGGTTACCCTTCCCCAGCCCTTCCTGCAATCACCAGACATGCGCCCCCCCCCCCCCCCCCCGCCTACGTTTTCATTTGCAAATATACTCATTCATATGAGTATATTATATATATATATACATATAACATATCCCGCGGTCCCTCTCGCGCTTGTTCTCCCACCTGACGTGTCTCACTTTCTCTCTCATTGTTTTTGTTCTTTTATTATCTCTCTCTATGTATCTGTATATATATATATACATTCACATACAAGTAGGGGACGTACATGTACGTGTGCATGCAACCATATTATACTTTTGCATACGTGTGCATTCAACTATATAGTTATACTTACGCATATATATATATATATATATATATATATTTATATATATATATATATACATATACATATCTGTGTGTGTGTATTTGTATATATATATATATATATATGCGTATATATATATATATATATATATGTATGTATACATATATGTATATGTATATGTATGTGTATATGTATGTGTATATGTATATGTATATGTATATGTATATGTGTATATATATATATATATATGTAGTTGCTTTTAGATAAGCTACATACAGAGTATGCCCATATAAAGATACATACATACACAGGCATTTTCAATCATGTGTTAACTATTTAAGTCCCGGACCCGAAATCCCAGCATCCCAAGACCAGAAGCAGGCCTTGGGCACCTCGAAGCCGCCGGAATTCCCGATTGCGACTTGCACCGCTCGAGGCACTGGGTGGCTGCCACTGCACGTGAGCGCGGCCCAGGGCCATCTGGACATTGCCAGGGCGCTGTTGCGCCGCTCAGCGGATTTCAGAACCCTTCGTGTAAAATGGAGCCCAACACCCAGACGTGCGAGAAGCTGCAGTGCGTGGCATAGGCGTAAAGTTGCCGACCTCGAACCGAGCCCCCTCGAACCGAGCCTGAAGACTGAACCTCGGCGACCCGCTCGCAACAATCGTCCACCGGATGCAGTTGCAGTCGGGTGAGCGAAACGAGCAAACAGACACAGACCGGTGAACGACCCGACATTGTGGAGGACTTCGTCATGATGACCTCACACCATCCCTGGGCTTCCAGTACACGTTCTCTGCAAACAGTGCCGATGCTACATGACCGTGTTGTCATCACTTGAGTCGGTCCAGAATGCCCCCTTTTTGAGGGATAGCAAATGGCCCTACAAACACGATCAGAAGATTCAGTTTCCAAAAAACAAGGTAAGGTTCTGTCGGGCTCAGGACCCAGAGCCTCAACCTCTAAATTATCTTTTTTGGGGTGTTATGGTGTTTTGGGGGTTGGTGCTGATGGTGGGGGGTGCCTCGGTCCAAGTCTAGCGTATGGTCTCTCAACTCTACGGCATAGCAGGCGTGAAAGGGTCCTCAAAACGTGTCTCAAACGATTATGGCTCAAGGCTCGAGGGAAGCCCTTTCTCGGGTATTCATGTGCAGTGCCTTGTGGCACGAGTAGAGCCGAGTTTTAGGTTTCAAGCGCTCCACTTTGCAAACGATCTCTGGCGCATGCAGAGCGCCAGACCGCGAGGGCAGCTTGGGTCCAGGACGCTTCTGGCCTTCATCGCTTGCTGTCTGGCGTGCGCCGAGCGCGATGTCAGCTTCGTGCAGTTGCAGGCGGTTCTGTCTTCCGGGGATCCGAGCAACGAAAGCGTTGTCGATAAGGCCAGCAGACCATGGGAGGTGTGCCAGTATCTGGCCGTGGCCTATCACAAGAGTGGCTCGGATCTCATGAAAGGCCTAGTTTTTGACATTTTCCAGGCTTTGGGAGCTCCCGAGGAGGCCATCGGCAGGTGGGACCACCCGTGCTATCTTTTCACGTGCTTCAACCCGACTGCACCCATTCGTCTGCTCCTGGACATGTACTCCCCAGAAGTTGAGGCCCGGGAGCGAAAGAAGGCACCTCAGGGATTGCGCGTGGCTGGCAGCGTTCGCAACCCTCTGGATATGGTCGCCTCTGCAT